TTTCATGGGGTCACTTAAGGGAATTTAATTTGAGCAGAGGCAACAGTGCGACAGGCACTGTGCTTCATGCTATTGTTGTTCCTGCTTGGAGGTGCACTTTATTTTCGGCACTGATGTTAGCGTATCCTTAGGTCTAAACAAATGTGTCTCGGGTTGAGGGACCGAAAATGTGACAAAGCCTCCTGATTTTTATGAAAAGTGTTGGATCCTCAGATGAACCATCACCGGGGCAGCCGAAGGGATTAGTGGATTAAAAAATTAATGGTCACACAGGTTAATCTGTTTGAATACAAACCTGTTTGAACAGAGGGATTCTGTTCGTAGTGCACTTTGAACTCCCCCACGTTGTGTCATTGTGTATGTTTTGATGTCCCTGCTAAAGAAAACCCCTCAGCAACATGCTGCCTCCACCATGTGTCAGTGTGAGGATGGTGTATTAAGGATGACACCGACACATTTTGCTTACAGGCCTAAATGTCTTCTTTTGGTTTCATCAGATGAGAGCATTTTTCAGTCCTACATGTTTTACACGCTCCTCTGCTTTTGCACACCTGATTCAAACAACACTTTCTGGAGAAATCTGCAAATAACTGGTTACTGAGAACTTCCTAAAATATTCAAGACACAGACCTACATGTCCTCTAGTGAATGTCATTGTTATTTCTTCTCAGGACTTTCTGATCAAGGCCAGATGTGTGGAGGTGTCTTTACACAGATTGATCCACTGAAGGACAACTCTGTAGCTCCTCCAGAGTTACTATGGGCCTCATGACTGATATTCTGATTAATGCTTTTATTTCCCAGCCTATCAGTTTAAGCATACAACCATGTGTTGGTAGATTTATAGTGGGTTTTTTTTAAACAAACAAACAAACAAACAAACAAACAAACAAAACAAAACATCTAAATTGTTGAAGATGGAAAAACAATTTGACATTCTAAACCTATTTTGAACTGCTTCTTAAATTTATCTGGTGATTTATTTATGATTTGTTTACTAATGTTCTCCGGCTTTCAGAACAAGATTGAAAAAAAAAAGGGATTTTTTTAAATCTTCCATTTTGGACTACTTTGTGTTGGTTTGTTACATGAAGTCCCAAAGCAATGCACTAAAGTTTGTGGTTGTAATGATAACACATATAGTAACGTTCATTTACAACGTGCTGTAAATGCTGCCCCTGAACAGCTGTCAGGGTGGCAGTGTTGGAGAATTTAGATAAGTCCACTTGAGGGCGATAATGCACTGACAGCCAGAGAGAAATAGTTTTGTTTTTGTTTTTTATAAAAAACTGGAGTCTTACTCTGAAATTTAGTTATGGGTCAGTTTCTCAGTTTGGAAGTGCTCGCTTTATCTCTGCCTTTACATTAAAACAGGTATTAAAAGACAAAACCAGAGTTTCATCATTAGTAATTGTCATATCTGTTTGTGTCACCTAAATGCATCGACAAACACAGGAGGTGCATAATGTCCAAAACAGAGCAAACAAGAACTTTTTTACTGCTCATGCATACAAAATGATTTATATAACAATGAAATTGAAAACATTTGTGGAGCTAGATTTCCTGACATCATACTGCATAAATATCCTGTTTTAACGCGGTGATAAATTCAACCAGACTCTATTGCGTAACATTTTTGACCCGCTTTAATCAGTGCTGACACACTGAAACACTCCCCGCCGTGCATGTCCTCACACTCCTGTGCGTTCCCTTTTACAGAGCGTTACCTAAATATCAAATGAGCGCGGGCGTGAGAGAGACCTGAGAGAGGAAAATTCTTCTGGTTGCGCAAACCTCTGGCATGCTTCAAGCACTGATGGATGGGGTGTGAATAAATTCAGAAACTGATGGGTTACAGTTCCAAAGACTTATCTCAAGTTTCCTAAATGATAGAATCTCATTTTTGAATGCAAGCAGATCTTACCATCAGCTGGTTTTCTTTGACAAACACGCTGAGTGCATTTTGCCAGAGCTATTAACTCATAAGTTAATGAAACAGACAAAGGCATCCAGCCTTTTCTCCTGGCTGAGGCAGAAAGAGAGCGTGGGGCGGAGAAGGGCACAGCGCTCAGCTTTAATTAACCACGCAAGGCAAGTCACTCCTCCTTCACTTCTTCGTGAACCCCATCTATTCTCCGTGCATCTTTTGTGTACAGCCAAAACATCGCAGCCTGCGAGAGGAAGAGTTTATTATGTTCCCAAAACTTCCAGGAATCCTCAAAAATGTGCAACAGGTTTGCATTGCATTGCTGCAGCTCTGCACAAATAATCTGCATCTAGCAGTTGTGACTTTCAGCTCATAAATTAGTCAAAAGAATTTCATTTAACAGTCTGCTGTGATAATTAACATAGAAAATGAAGAAAGAAAAAGAAAAGTTAGTTAAAATGTTTGTTTTAGATCTAAATAGATTTTTTCCCCCTCAAAATGATTGAACTGAAGTTGAATTGAAGATTCAGGCCAAAGTTTCTTTTTTAAAAATAATTGCCGGTTCCTTTTATTTCTGTACCATTTAGTTCTCACATTTCTCATGTTTGAAACATATTAATAATGAATCCAGACCACTACAATTGAAATATCATCATATGCATATGATTACTTGTATCAGCGCTTGTGCCACATAACTGATTCATCTCTAATAAGACCCTGAATCTGGTCTCTTCTGACTTATTCTTCAACATTTGTTGCTGCACATGTGGCCTTTTCCTTACTCCCCTCACTCTTTCTTTATAAAAACACCTAAACCAAACACTTCATCTGGCTGACTCAACAAGACAATCATCCATCATTAACCTCAGTTAATATTTCTGCAAGCCTAGTATCACTATCAAGTGGAACACATTGTGCAATGACTTTCCTAGAGCTAATTTTCATGTTTTGGCCTAATGTTCTTGATCAAATACTTAGAAATCCAGGGGAAAAAAAAAATCAGCAAACCAGCCTGCCTGCCATTAACAGTGGTGCCGACCTTTACAATAATTAACCTCACTGGTGCTTTTGTCTACTCATTATACACATTTCTTCAAGCGCCAGCATGTGTGACACAGGGGGTTTAATATAGCCACAGGCAGGTGCTGCAGAAATAATAACAGACTATCACAAAAATTAGCAGAGAGCTGCTCAACAATAATGAACGTTTCCTGAAAGCTACGCTGTACACGTTAAGTAGAGGACCAGAAACAATCCACACATGCTTAATACAACACATGCTTCGGTGTGTGTTGATAAAAATAACACATTAATGAGTTGTTGTTTTGGCGGGAGTGGGTTTGGTTAATTTGGGAGCACAGCCACAGATACTTTTAATCCACCTCCTACAGGCTATTCCTGTGGTCAGCCTGGTGTTCTCGGAGCAACACCACAATGCTCCAAACTGTGTAAAAGTTAAACATTAGGCGGGGACAGTGTAATACTGTGTATTAGACTTCTAGTAAAGTGAACCAGTCTGTGCGCAGCTTCTGTTCTTTGTATTGACGACAGTGTAAATGCTGGCATGCTTATGAGAAAACGTCAACAATGGCAGTCTGTCTGGTTACAGATTGCATAATGCAAAAAGTAATTAAAAAATTACAAGCGGTAGTTTTTACAATTTCATTTGAGGTTTTTAGCTGGGAAAAAAAAAAAAAAAAGATTGGCTGTTCCCTATGGGTTGGGCGTCAGGCTCTGCCTCAAATGGAGGACTCCATTATCTTGGTGTTTTGCTCTGGAGCGATGGCAGGACGGACAGACGGAGCGGGGCTTCATCTGCAGCTGCAGTAAAACGGGTGCTACTCCCGATTTACCGGTCCGGCTGCATTCCACTTGTCAGCTGTGGTGATAAGATCTGATCGTGAACTAAAGAGCGAGATCCAAGATCCAAGCTCCCAAAGTGAGTTCACGGAAGTCAGACTCGGCCTCAGAGAGAGAGAGAGAAGCTCTATCCTTCTCTAAAATAGAGCCGCTGCTTCTCCCCAACAAAAGGCGTTAGTAGAAGAGGTTCGAGGATCTGACCAGGTTGCAGTGCATCCCTTTTTGTCCCGGGGCACGTTGTGATCACCCAGAATGAGCTGGAAGGTGCTGCTTTCCTCCTGGATCTGTAATCCCTGACAGCTTGAGGATAGATGGATGGAAAAGCAATGTAGTTTATCGACATAAGAACAAAATTTATTCTTCTTAAAGGACATTTACATAGTAATTTAGTCTTACATTTCTTCAAGCATTAATCTTAACTTTAATTACAGATTTACATAGAACAACTGTGGAATACTTACTGCCTATTACTTGCTAATAACCCTTTATCTAAAACAAACACAATTCCAAAATAAATCCGGTTCACATTTCTTTCAGTTTTGGACGCCATTATTTTCCTAACAGCATAAACATGACTATATATTCACACTTTTGTAATAAAAAATTAGATTTCATTGTTGTCAGGATCTATAAATTCAATAAAATATTAGTAGATTTAGGTCAGTTTGGATTTCATGAATTATTTCATATTGCTAAATATCACACTAAGGTCTTTCTGTTAGTTACAATGTTTGGTGGCGAGGATAATCCACTGCAAGTGTTTGTGTGCTCAGGCATGGATTACCTTTCATTTGCCCTTCAGTAACCAACTTCTGTTTGTTTTCCTCCTGTCAGGTAATCTTAGCCTCCTCTTATCTCTTTCTCAGAATCAGCCAACAATCCAAAACCAGCTCTCGTTTAGCAACTTTCATCTGTTTTGTAATGATACTGTTTTCTGTTTATTCTTTTTCCACTGACATTAAGGTTGATGGAGCTGAAGGAGCACGACAACAAACAAACAGGACATCAGAGGCTGCAGAACGCACGGTGCACCTTCACCCCTATGAACCATCTCAAAAACAGGTTGTCGGTAAACAAGCTCGGAGTAGGGGCCGAGCAAGACAGTGCAATATATACGAGTGCACTTTAGACAAGTAGCACAAGAAGGTGCGGTTGTGAGGTGACGAGAGAGCACAAAATCTGGTGAAAAAGAAAGGATATACTTATCGTCTTGTTTTTTTTTTTTTTCAAGCTATGGTATAGATTTCAGAGAGAACGACATCGAATCACTTAAATCTGCAGCATCAGAGCTCCACATGTCAGACAAAAACAATTCATCTGTCTTTAATTAAGCTCTGTAAAGAAAGAAAAACCCACAGGTGATTGCTAAAAAACTAATTATAAATGAGTAGCAGGAGAAGACATCGCACAAATTCATATTTCTCTCCAGTTGTAATGCAGTTGCTTATTTGTGGCTTGATTTTAAAGCTGAAAATGATATTTTGTAAAAGTATTTAATAAACACGACGATCTGGTGAACGCTTAGTAAAAATACGAATAAATCTGCCACCACTAATTAAAAAATATCCAGCAAATCTATCGATTACCATCCCATTAAAACCACATTTGTTACTTTCAAATAAATGCTAACATTTTAGTGTATGCAATGTGTTTTAAATCAAAGTTTTTTTTAATACAACATCATTCTTTTTTTACATATTAAAAATTACACTTTTAAAACGGCAGTGAGTGGATGTGAGGTCATCGATCTATAAATATCACAAAATAAGAAACAAAACAAAACAAAAAATAAGTGAACTTAGCTAAAGCTGCTTGATATTAAGTCAAGTCTTTTTTGTCTGGTTTTATTAAATTTGTTATTCTTCTCTATGTTTTTCCTTTTTTTTTTACAGTAACAAACTTTTCAATAAATGGAGGTAAATTTCACATCGTAAAATCCAGCTGCCATTCCAGTGTTGGGATTGTGAAGTCAAGGCGCCAAGCTTTAAAACGTCAAAAACTAGAAATATAAGTGTTGTTGTTTGTTAGCACAAATTAGCAGAGACACATTGGAATAATCCACAAAGCTAATAGTTTTGATATAAAGAAAGTACACCCTATTTCATCAGATGTACAAACACACAAAAAACATAAACACGACAATGAACCACTAAAATGGACAGCAATAAAAAAAAAAAGTTTTTGCTCCACCTGAATTGACAAATATGTATTTTAACGTCACAATAGCACACATTTTAATGCATTTGATCTATTATTGACACTCTGTCTGGTAGAGTGAAATTTTTTGGTTCGAAAATCTGCCCCGTCTTAATTCAAGATCTAGATGAAATTTCTGCCACTGATCAATCTGGGAGAGCCTGTATGAACCAAACACTATTCACAACACAATTGCCAATAATCCCAGAAGTTGATGACCCGAGGTCAAACTGTACAACTTTGAGGAAAACGGATATAAAACCATTTAGCTAGCATGCTAAAGTGCCTAACAAGACAAATAAAACAGAAGAAATATAATATGGCTTGTTTGAAAGGATTACCTCTCCTTGTGTAAAGAACAAGCTAGCACAAATTATATTTGAAAAGCTGTGAATGCACCCAGAACCCTCTCTGACAATGATCTTCAAATAAGGAACACTAAAGTGCTAATGTCTGCTACAACCATCACAAAAACCTCAAACAAATGGTCAGGTATGGTGTTGGACTTGCTTTGGGCATGCGTTGCACCTTGAAATTTATTGTATAGCAAACTGTCAAATATCGGGCCGCTTTTCAGGTAGGTAAAACTTTGACAAATTTGTGTTAAACTAACCATGTAGCCCTTGAATATATATATATAAAGAAAATAACTTTCTTATTTGTGAAAACCCGTGCGGGGGAAAACATGGGTTTTCTAAAATTAGGGTGTAACAACATTCATAATACTGCTATTCTTGTTATCATTTATGTTGTATGCTCGATTCAGAATGACCTTTTATTTCAGAATTCACATTTTCACCAATACATATAAATGTGATGTCGCTTGTCATTTAATCAACCTATTTACTTGGTTAGTTTCTCAAACAAATTCAAACATCTTATGGGCGTTGTTAACATTTTGTTGGGCTCAGGATAACACCTGTGAGGAAATGTCAGTGTCAGTACAAAAACCAGATAAAAACAAAAATATGTTTATGTCGTACATATCATCCCACCCTTACTGCATAAACTGGAGGTAAGCCAAAGAGAGAGAGAGAGAGAGAGAGAGAGAGAGAATAAGAAAACAAACAACTGGCTGTCTTTTTACAAGACATTTTTCACATTACTAAAACATGTGTAAAAAATTTGCAAGTCAACATAAAACCGTAGAATGAGGCTCCCACAATGGCAGCCAGGAGGTCAGTTTTCTCTCTTACTATTGCAACAAAATACTGCAAACATTACAAACTGAGAACTGGACAACATAAGACATTTAACAATAGCTGGCATCAGTCAGCTATATGTGAGATTGTGACCTGCAGGATCTTCCTTTGCTCCTAAAACTAAAGCTTTGACAAGTCAGAATGTGCACAAACAACATCTGGTTGTGTCCTGGAATGTCTGGTACCAGATTGTTGTGAAGTCTATTGGGGCCGGGTTTGCTCCCAACAGATGCCTTCAGATCCAGTCCAATCAGAGTTTATGGAGGAAGGAGGCTTGCAGCTGCCCAGTGGGCAGGGGAGGCTCCTTGTTTGGGTGAGTGCTGCTGCCTTTTAGGGAGAGATGACTGAACCTTGTCAAAATCTTGTCAAAGCACAACGATCAGCAGGCCGTCATGCTGTTGATCGTTCCTACCAATCAGACTTTTTCTTCTGGGTTTTACATAAGGACATCGATACTTCTGTCACACTTGTCCATTTAAGTCACATAGAGTACCACGAATCAGTTGATTATTGCCAGTAAATAAATCAAACTATCCTGATTCGGTCACCTAGTGGTGAGCCATGTAGCATAATACATCCTTTCAAGATGTCTTTCAGTGCTAAATAACAGTCATTCTAAATATAAAGCCAAAACAAATGGTATAGACAGCAAACTAAAACAAAGGCATTATCTTCTTAAAAATAGACTATTAAAATGAAGTCTAAAGGGATTAAAGTTGTTTGACAGTCTTGTAAATTTCTTATATTACAACAACAAAAAAATGCTCAGTCTGTTGCTGTGCACAAAGATGTAACAAAAAAAATGCAGTGATTGGAAAAAAAAAAAAAAAAAAAAAACTGTTCCTCAGACAGTTCAGTGAGCCTCTGCAGAAATGTGAGAGTGAAAAACAGGGCAAACTGAAATAAAGTCAGGAAATTCCATGTCAGTATGAAGCCCCATGGGTAAAACGTCAGAGTGCCTTGTGGTCCACCAGTGCACAACTTGGATCAGCAACAAGACAGAAATCACTGGCAATCCGTTGCAGGTTTTGCGGTGAAAGGCTCAACATCAGTGCTCCTTACAACCTCCATCTGGATGAGCTGTGAAAAAAAAAGAGACACAAATATGAGATTTAACCTCATGGAGCAGCACAGATTTTATCTGTTATATGGCAATTTATATGTCTTCCAGGTTAGACCATGTCTTGGTTTGATTTCCATTCTTTTTCTACTTCCTGTTTGTGAACTGTCCTCAGTGAAATGCTCAGAGTGTTGGATATTGTTTTGTAACCCAAAAACAATACAAATCCTCCACAATGTTTTCCCTGACCCTTCTGCTTTGTGCCTTGGCCTTTAGGATGCTGTTTCTTCTCTAAGATTCTCTAACAATCCTCTAAATTGTCCACAAAGTAGAACTGTGGAACATATAACCCACATGTGGTTTCTATTTACGATGCAATTTAGTAATCCTCTGGATTATATCAAAGGTTTAAGACTAAAATGGGTAGAAAACATTGGCACACCATAATTGTCAGATTTGTATTTGTAAAACTTTCATTCTACTTCAAAATTAGTATTGTACTTTTGTATTATGTACAATACTAATTAAAATAAGGTTTGTGGTTATATTGGAACAAAAAAATAGGTATGAAAACATCTAAATGGTGAAAACATCTAAATTTAAGATTTTCCTCTTTGCTCCAGTATGTTTTAAATAAGCATAACCCCAGAGAATAGTGAAGCATATCTGGATCCTGCTCATGCATGTCATCCAATACAGAAAAAGGCCTAATTTGCATTTTTAAGAGAAACAGGAAGCTGTGTTCACTCAGAATATTTTTCACAGGAACATGATCCCTTCTATGTAATTCATATTCATTGTTTTTTCCTGCTTAATTCTTGAGGATTCGCAGAGGGGCTTGTGCCTCCATCAATCGGTCAATATAATGTCATAGGAATTGAGAATGAGCAATTGGTCTTTTTGATGGTTGGAAGAAAGCAGAGTGCACTGAGAGAAAACATGCATGATGCACCATCGGACTCCACACTAGGACCTACTTACTTCACAGGCTTTATGCACTTTCTGATTGAAAATAGGAACTTTTTTTTTTTTTTTTACCTTATTGCCATTCTGTCTGCTCTCCACTAGGTCCTTAGTTGCAGTAGTCACGTCCTTGTAGAAGCAAAGCACTTCCTTAAAGCTCTGTTTGAATTTGTCTGAGAGGAAACCGTAGAGGACTGGGTTGGCGCAGGAGTTGACGTAGGTGAGGATGACCAGGGAAAAGTAGAGTTCAGCATTGACTTTGCTCTCAGGTATGACATAAAACAGGTTGACAATGTTGATGGTGAAAAAGGGAAGCCAACAAAGCACGAAGACCAGCACGATGATGACCACCATGCGTGTCACCTTGCGCTCTGACTTGCGCCGCTTTGTGAGGCCTGCTCTTACACCTGCAGATTTCACCTGGAAGAGGGAAGATGGCGTGAGATGTTGAGATGGTAAAATGCAGTTCTAAACCTTTGCTAATTCAAGACAAAGAGGATATGTAAAGATTTAATTACCTTGATAACAATAATTAGATAGCAGAGGGTGATGACAGTCAAAGGGCCGAAGAAGCCCATGATGGATGTGTAGAGGATAAAAGCAAGGGACCACGACTCTGAAGGCTCCGGCCAGCTTATGTTGCAGGTGTTGAACTTATCCTGCACACCTGAGAATATGGTGAGCGGCAGCGCCATCAGGAATGAAATAAACCACACCACGCCATTCAAAATCTTGGCCACTCGGGGCTTTCGCCATCTGGCACTGCGAATAGGATAAACCACAGCGAGGAAGCGGTCAATGCTCATCAGCGTCAGGCAGAAGGTGGAGGCGAACTGGCTCATGCCATCAGCAGTCATGGAAACCTTGCAGAGGAAATTGCCAAATGGCCAGTAGGACAACGCACTGTTGGTCCCTATTAAAGGGATCCCCAAGATGTAGAGTTCATCCGCCACGGCTAAATTCAGGATGTACATGTTGGTCACTGTCTTCATTTTGGTGTAGCGGGCAACGACATAGATAACTAATACATTACCCAAGAAACCCACTATGAAGACAGTAGTGTAGATTACTGCAGTGACTTCACTGAAGGGCATTGGTGGGGTTGTGTCTGAACCATTGGTTCTGCTGGTATTCTCAGACATTAGTGTCTCATTGTAGTTGGTCATGTTGAAGGAGGAGCTGCTGATGTCCATCAGTTTATGGTGGATTATCTTAAGAGAGAAAAGACATGCACACAATTGTAGATGTTATTTATGCTTCAATGGCAGCCATTACCTAGAAGGAACAATTCATAACGTTCTGACTGTTTGAGTATTCTGTGAATTCCTAGTTCAGAGAACAATTGCTATGTCAAACTTCTGCACTATGCACACTGGACACAACACAGGTGTGTATGGTAATCTCTGGGCAAGGGGCCCATATTTACAAAGAGAGGAGAGAAACTTTCCAGTGAACTGTCTGGGAACGCGGCCAACATGCAATTTCTTATAAAAGGAAATTGCACTTTTAGAAGAATGGCATCAGTTAAACAGTTTTAATGGCACTCTAGATGGACCAAATGTCAATAAAGGAGAGAAAGACATAAAACAAAAACGTGGGAAATGGTTTGATATTTGGAGAGCTTAATGTGTCATTTATGTTCGCAGTAACATTATCAATGAAGAGCAATGTGTTTCCGAAATTAAAATGTCCTTTTAAGAAGATAAGGACCTAAACTGATTTTAAAAACTGTTTATTCTGTTTTATGGCTGTCAAGTATGACATATCAGCTTTTTACAGTTCAAGTAAGCAAATATGATTTCCAAGTATCTAACATTATCAAAAAAACATAGTCACAAAAAAATAGGACATCAAATCACGCAGTGTGTGTTTTTCGAACACACACGGTAGTTTCTTTCTTATTGCTGAAACATAAACACTGACCTTTGCTAAGGCAAGAAAGGCCTGCAGTGCTTTAGATGTTGTGTACTGGGTTCTTTGTTGACCTCTTTGACAAGTTGTCCATCTCATGGCTGGTCGCTCTTGAGAAGTTTAGCCACTGATCCATATTTATTCCTTTTATGGGGAACGGCTTTCACTGTGGTTTGACTGACTCCCATAACCTTAGAAACACATTTGTAACCATTTCCTGAATGAATTTCAAAAGCTTTGCTTCACATTTGCTCTTGAGTTTCTTTAGATTGTTGTGTGATCGGTTGATTTGTGAGATCAACTACCCTACTTTATGTAGTCTGACAAGTACTGTTTAAATGATTTATCTATTATAACTTTAATTGATTATTTCAACAAGTTTCCTTAAAAGAATAACATAAATTGAAAACTGAGTTTTGCATTCAATCTTGTCATCATTTCCTGATTTAAGAGTTTGTTTGATGATCTGAAATGCAAGTATGAAATAAAAGCAAAACAAAAGAAACCAGAAAGAGGGCAAACAGTCGCGGTGCGCCAGCTTCAATAAATTTCTCTTAAAAGCCTCAAAATGCTATTATTCAGGTCAGTGAGTTTTGTAAAAAAAAAAAAAAAAAAAGTCGACAACACCAATCTTTACATTGCTGCCACGCAAATAACGTGCTGACATGTAAACAGACAATTTATTAAACAGTCAATATTCACTGTGAAATATTTTTTAAGGACTTAAAGTATCCTCATCTGTCTAAGAAAATCCTGAACTTCACATATTCTGGTCAGATTCGGTTTCAAATCATATGAGGATGAACCACTGATCAAAGTTTAATGTTTTGACAGTAACTCAATCGGTTAAATGTTTACGCACAACATAAATGCCAAACCTGTAGACATTATTCTAATCCTTGGAGTCATTATGACAGCAGCCATTATGAATCTCGCTGCCCTAAAACGATAATAATCATATTAGTGTCAGTTGATGGACAGCAACCTTTGAGCCTTTGCCTTCAACAACTCACACAAAACGCTGAGGCGGGTTGAGCTATAATGGAGCGTCGGATGGATAATTGTCAGATGTCAAACGTTGCAACCCGGGGCTGTGAAGATGTGTTGCACAAATAAAAACTTTGGCTTGAGGACTCGCTGCACCGCGCTCCAAAACACGGGAGTGACGCGCAGCCCGCAGCGTGATGTTGGGAAAACAATGACGAGATGTCTCTGTCCTCTTCAGGCTGCACCGGGGTTTGACATTTCTGTCCATAAATCTCTAATTGCCAAATCCCGCAGCTTAAAAAAGCGTTCATATGCCTACCCGGTGGATTTATGCACACAGGGGAAAAAAATCACATTGTGGCTTATTTACTCGCCCCATATGGCTTCGCGCGCTCTCCAGGGAAATGAACGGAAATAAGTTTTCATAATTAGGGTAACTGGTGATATCTTTAAGACGAAAATAAGCAAAGCGCAAACTCCTTAGCGTGGGATAAATATTTAATTGAGACAAAATTAGTCAAAAATATCTAAAATTAACCCTGTTAGTCACAGATTATGGAAACTAAAGACAGAGCATCTGTAAACAAAGCGCATAAGATTTTTATTCAATTTAATTACCTCCAATAATCCCACGGCAAATTTCCTATGTTTATAATGCGCAAAGATCCACAAGTAAATGTCGGAATTGGATTCGCTGTGAGATTCACACTGAAGATGTTCAGGGCCTACATACAATTTGTGATGTCACTTCCAGGTATTTTGACATGCTGTGCAGATGGAGATCAGCCTACCTGTGCGCTTCTGCGTCTCCAACGCTCAGGCGGTGATGGGACTGTTCACTCTCACTCCGCTTCTCCCCCGATCCTTGATACAAACACCACTTGTTATCCAAGTTTTCTCTATTTATCCTTAAATCTTCGTGCTCTAACATCCATACTGATGCTCATGCTCAGATTATTAACTTTTTTTAGTCACTCATTCAAAGTTCGTAGGTAGGAAGAATCCAGTACGCTCCTGCGAAGATGGGAAAGCCTCTGCGCAGCGGGAACTCTGTCTATTTAAGTGGGGAAAACGTCACACAGCGTTTGCATGAAACAGTCCCGCCCACCTCTTGTTGTCGACACCTCCAAACACCAGTTGTTGGTGCAAATTAAATGACAATAAGTTCATTTCTTTCCTCTTCTCATTTCAAACCCAACCACCAACAAAAATATACACCTTTCCCTTTTGTATTGATCAAGTCAGATCTAAATGGACGAGTCAGAGTCCTCCTGGAGGTGTTTGGGAAGAAAAGAGAAAAGAGGGTGAATTGTGAGAACAGATGGATGGGGATTTGATGGTAGTAGTCTGAGCTCAAGTCATTAGTTTTATGTTGCGCTCGTCTCTGTCAATGCAGAGTTAGCACCAGGCTGCTGCACATGCGGGCACACAGCATGTGTTTTATTTTGGACTTGTAGAGAACTACATAGACCCCAGAAATGGACAAAATCTGATCCTCTAACTTGATCAATCAAGTCTGTTTGCTGGTTTTGGAGAGTTTCTTTATTCATCCACTGTTTTTTTTTAATTTGACATAATGAAACCACACTCTGGGGGATCCAAAGTTGTTCCCAGATCAGGAAGGATAACTTATACCTCTAGCAAGCTCCTGGTTCCTCCAGCTTCTTTACCACTATAGGCCTATCATACATGTACAAAAATACATTGGAGCAAATATCCTAATTTGCTAAATGCAATCTTCACTCTCAGCCCTCAAACCTACATTTCTCTCTCTATGTAAACTTTAATACATTTTTAATGTAAAAAAAACACAAAAAACCCCCCAAAAACATTGTTATCCTATTTGAAGTCATCTGATGCATCATGCTTGCTATCACTAGTAATTATCATTGACCATTACAAAAATAGAAAAGACACAACAGTCCTTAATTTTAAATATTAATGTAACTAAGCAAACATTAAAACATGTACTGCAATACACTCTTGATATAATTTTTTTTTTTTCAAAAAGAAAATACGAGTATTTCTCTAAAGTTGATCAAATTCCTGTTTGTCATGCATTCTGATGTGCTTCCTTAGAGAAACATCACTGGACAATCCCAAGTGTTGACATTGAGTAATTATGTATGTTTTCAGTCACAGTTTTCAGCAGCATACTCCAAGTATATCTGAAGATCAGGAAATTGTCCCAGGCTGAGTCCTGATCTCCTTCTGCCTCAGATGTACAGCTCAAGTTTTGAGGTTGTTGCATTTCTTTGGAGTAACGCTAATCCTGTCAATGCAACTGGAGCAAATCCCACTCACCTGTCCACTTATTGACATAAATCTAAACTATTACAGCTTAAGATTGTTAACACAGATTTGTAGTAATTTTTAAATGAAAAATATTTAATAGAAACTCACTTTTTCTTTCTATTTTGAAAATGTAAATTTCCCCTGCCTTTTCCTTTGATATTGTGCAACCCATATGATTTTATGTTGCTGTGTTTACATACTTATTGGATTTGCAAAAGTGATCTAATTTCCACCGACCATGAAAATAAATCAGGTTTACTACCTGTGTGTGCAAGTCGTCGTAGATGGGAAACACCACACATCAGATTGTAATTAGATTGTAATAAGCAGAGTTTAGGGAGGGCACACATGCTCATCTCTGTTTGCTGTTCTTTTTCTTTTCCACAGTTAATTTTTTATTGTGAAAATGACATGTTGAAATACCTGCTCTATTGCAAGAGTTTTTGCTGTCAACTAGAACGCTGCACACCTACTTTTGAATTTGGGGAATTGGTGTGTGGTGATATTTTAAAATTTGCTCTTGCCAAATTTGCAAACAACGGCCTTTCTCTGTTTCTCATGCTCTCTGATCTTACTCAGATGAGTCACCGTGGCTCAAAGCGATTGGTATGTCCTCCGTTTCTAAATCGAGCCGTCTATCTTTGGGCTCTGCGATCATATCAAAGTGGTGTCTGCCACTGACAGCTTGAAGCTGGCTGGGATCGATCGCTGTCCAGTTAAATCTAGTCCGAGTTGTGTTTGTGTGTGTATCTGAAACAGAGAGGTCTCGATCCAGCAAAATCAATGCTCCACCTTTTGATAGTAAATAAAACAAAGACGGAGATTTTAATGGAAGAGTAAGAAATGAAGGACGCCTACGGCGGCGACTGCTTGGCTAACACCGCATCTTGAGGTCAAAGGCTATAAAAGCAGCCATGGGTAGCAAATACAATCACTCAGTCTGTGTGCCTGCACAGTCTATCTGATAATTACACATCCCTGTCAAATATGGATGTGTCAAGTGTTTACACAACACTTTGTCTCAGCGCTATGTGCCACAATTTATAATTTCAAGACAAGATTGGCTGCCCTGGCTGCCAATCAAATAACAATGCCTTGACCTATTAGCCATGCACAATGAAGCAGCAAAGAGATCCATGGTAAGGACACGCAGTGATCCGCATCACTGCATCTCCTTAGCACATTTATTTTCCACAAATCTGTGGAAAATAAATGTGCTCAAGCTGCAGATCTGACCTCCATTTCATATTGACAAAAATGTAACCTTGTCTTACTTGCAAAATGCATGTGAAGTTTGAAATTGCTCAATCTGGCTGAGTTTGAGGTATTTCTGACAAGGGTAGCAGGAGTTTTAGTCCGCACAAATCTGGAAGACTGAAAACCAGTCACCTGAAGCAAAAAGAAGGCTCTGTAAAGCCCTTCACATCATTTTATGCACCACTTTGTTTATGTCTACTGCATAAAATAATTTTTTTCTTGATAAAAAAGCAAAAAAAAAAAAAAAAAAAGTTTGATGCATATGAATAATTTGCAAAGGTGCTGCGTATGTCAAAACTGCAATGCATAAAATAAATTGTTGCATCTCTTTTATAAGTAAAATCCTATGGATTTACTTTTGCCGCAGTTTTGCCTGAAACAAGTGACAAGGCTGTTTGTCCCCAGAAAGACTCCAGATGGAGCTGTAGTCTGCCACAGGCATTACCACGAAAGGCACAAGTCACTTCAACCTCCAGCATGTAGGCTGACAGAAATGACATATCTTTTTATAGACATAGAGATTATGTGTAAATCTGTTCAGCGGATAAAATTTGAGTGTGTCAGATTGACCTGAAGGTGAGTTTCAGCAGCTGAATGCAGTTAACCTCAAAAAATGTTAACCACACATACGCTTAAATCTCATTCATTCAAGGTGAGTGTCTGATTTATTCAGGCATTGTTCCATAATATTCAGTATAAGACAATTAAGATAGGTGATATTTGAATTTCTCTGCATCGAACAGTGGCGTCCTAGTAGGAAGTCATCTAATAGGAAGGAGTAGGAGGTGGATACACAGAATTGAGCTTCTGTTTGCAGTAATGAGGGCGTTGTTGTTATCTGTAATGATGAGAAGCTAAGCTGAAAAGTTGTCTGTTTACTGGTCCGTCTGGATTTCTATCCTCTCCTTTATCTATCTTTATCTTTAGCCAGGAGATATGAATTCTGATAGAAAGATCAAGATTCTGACAGAAGCAGCTGAAGTCAGGGTCATTCATATTTGGGGGAATTTCACGACTTCTCCGATGGTTTGGTCATCTGTTCTGGACACCTCCTGTTCAGAACCTGCTGGGTTGGGGGCTATAAGTTCATTTAGATCTGCAAGCGCCTTGGAAATACATCTGAGATAAGATGATGCTGTTCACAATTAAGTTCTCAGAAACAGATTTTTGAGATTTTGAAGAGACTGTAAAAACTGCGGCTGTGGATATTCGACAAAACGAGATAATCTTTGTAATCGACTGAGTCTATCTTACAGATGAAACTTTATGAATCACGTCTTTCAAAGTGTCTTTTTGAAAAACGAGTCATGAAAAACGCACCAACTCTGACAGAAGCGGACTAAGCTGTAGAGTTAAACATACTGAAGAGAGGAACCACATTTATGTTTAAACAGATAACCAAACTTAGTTCTCCAAAAGTTTATATTATAGCTGAAGATCCTCCTGTTGTAAAAGAGCATACTATCTGAGCTTATCAGATTGAAATTTGAACTTTTCTGAGAAAACAATTTGCGTCCATTACAGAGTAATAGTCGCTGCTAAAAAGGAAGCACATAAATATGCAGTGCTTTAGGACTTCGTTTATGAGAGATTAAACTACGAGGCTTTATTGTTTGACAGAACTGACATTATAATATTGAGTAAAAGTTTTCATGTGACAAATTTACTTTTATTCTTGTAAAATGTTTGTATACATACATTTTCTTCCCAATTGAAGAGGAAGATGTATGTATGTATTAAATGCAACCAGTGTTATGTAATAGATAAAACTACATCTGAAAACATTGAAAACAGATGACATCTAATCCTGTTTTTGAAATCCATCGCCGTGCATTTTAGTATACTCCATATTTTTAAAAATAATTAATGAAGTTTCCAGTAAAAAA